TCTCTCTCTCTCTCTCTCTGTGCCCCTTCCCTTTTTTCTCTCTCTCTTCATGTCCTGTTCCCCTCCCTCCATACCCTCCTAATAAACCTCTTGCAGAGAATATCGGTTGACCAGCCTCATGCTTTTTTAATAATAACATTGGTGTGTTGGCTAGGACAGGGCTCTCCTAGCAAAGCTAGGAACCCTTTCAGACTCCGGACAGGACGGTTACAACCGAATTTCTCTGCTCAAAAACTGAGCCCCAGCGTAAAGCATCAGCTTGCTCCGGTGCACGGACCCCCTGGGGCCATGGTTGCACAGTCATGGCACTTGGTCCTCCCTGATTTTCTGGGCTGCTTCTGCTCTCTCCAGGCTTGGGTCCCTGTCCAGCGGTTGGTGCCCGCGCTCCAATCCGGCACCATGGCCAGGGCTCTCTGAGAGTCTATGCAGTCCAGCTCCAGCCCCAGCGGCTCCAGCGGCAGCGAAGGCCAGCCCCGCCCCGGCTTGGATCTCTGTGCTGTCTGCAGCAACAGTGTTTGGTAAGAGGGTAGGCGCTCTACCCAGGACCCCTGGGGGGAGGCGAGCCAAAAAGGGACCATGTGTGTTTGCTATTCCAGCGCCGAGCCTGGGAGATTCACACCGCGCTAAAATCAACTTTAAAGGCTTGGCACAGCAGAGTCGGGAAACTTTTAAATTTCCCACGGGATCCCCGGCAGCCGCCATGTTTATCAAGGGAGGAAATGGGCGTAACTATAGCTTAACCATTCACTTAATGTGGAGCAGCGCCTTTTTAGGTTCGGGCAAATACGCCCCGCCTCCCTCGTGCCCTGCCTCCCGCGTGCCCCGCCAGCAGCCACAAAGCTGCTTTTCGTTTTGCCGCCTGCTTCTAAGAGGCTTTTCCCAAGCTTTAGGAAAACAAAACAAAACAGTCTTTTCTCCCTGATTTCTGTACACTTTACTCTTATGCTTTAAATTCCTTATCTAATGCTTTATATAATTTTCTCATTGGGTTTTCATTTATAAGTCTTAATCATAATTAACTGTTTATCTTATCTTTTAGACCAGGCCACAACAATGAGCCTCATTTCAAATTGGTATGGATTTTTATAAAAATTTAAAGTTACATTTTATTATTTTATGATACAACCCTGCTTCAAAATAAATTTTATATGATAATAAAATTTCAAAGTTATAAATATTTATTCAAATTAAGTTGGTTTAAGATATAAAACTGTTACTGTCTCCTACTATGTGTTGCTCAAATATAATTTTAAAATTGCTGAATACGGTTCTGCTCATGGGTTCATTATTATGTACAAGTTGTTTACCAATATTCTAAATTAGGATCTATTAATTTTAGAGGTATTTATGTTAAAACTGGGTCAATTTGCTGCATCTCTACTATCAAAAAGTTAAAATATGCTTGGTTAATTTTAAATTTTGTTAATACTGTTCTGCTAAATTGTTGGTTTTAAACTTATAGCTCAAGGGTTCGTTATTATGTACAAGTTGTTTACCAATATTCTAAATTAAGATCGATTATTTTAAAAAATATATTTATATTAAAACTGGGTCAATTTGCTGTATCTGTACTATCAAAAGGTTAAAATAAGCTTGGTCTTATTCTCTAAAAAAGGTTGTTATTAATCTGTAGTATAGCCTTAGACTGTTATAAGCTATAAACTTTTATGTATTAAATCATACAAAAACTCTTGTGCTCTCACTTTAATAGATTATATTCATGATTTTTAAGATTCTAACTTAGCAAGGACAAAACCTAAAGTCTTAATATTTAATGGTTAACAAATGCAAGTTAATAGTCACCTCATAGATACATATTTATAGTCCTGCAGATGGAAACATGGTCTCACTGCAATTTTTAATAAACAGCTGAGGATGGTCCTTAAGTCACCATATAGGAGTTGGTAAAAATACTGAGCCGTCCCACCTGGCTATCCAAGTCACGGCACCAATGTAATGTTATTAAAAAATCATGAGGCTGGTCAACCGATATTCTCTGCAAGAGGTTTATTAGGAGAATATGGAGGGAGGGGGAACAGGACATGAAGAGAGAGAGAAAAAAGGGAAGGGGTGCCCCGAGAGAGAGAGAGAGAAAGAGAGAAAGAGGAGAGTGTAAGAGTGTAAGAGAGAGACCACATGTAGGGGTTGGTCCTTTAAGGGGCAAGGTAACCCCGCCTTCCAGGTGTGGCCACCTGGCCGGTGACACATGATGACATCCTAAGTTGGTGGGTAACCCAGGAGCAGGTTGTGTTACAAAATACTAACTTTCAGGAAATATTTTCAAGAAATTCATGGAAGGAAACTTCCCCAAACTAAAGAAAGAGATGATTTTAAACATACAAGAGGCTTACAGAACACCAAATTTATTAGACCAAAAAAGAAATTCTTCCTGCCACATAATAGTCAAAACACTAAACTATAGAACAAAGAAACAGTATGAAAAGCAGCAAGAAAAAAAGTCCAAGTAGCATAAAGGTAGACTTATGAGAATAACATCTGACTTTTCAACAGTGACTACGAAAACCAGAAGGGCCTGCGAAGATGTCATGCAGACACTAAGAGACTACAGATTCCAGACTACTACACCCAGCAAAATTTTCAATCACCATAGACAAAGAAAACAAGATATTCCATGACAAAACCAAATTTAAACAATATCTATGTACCAACACAGCCCTATGGAAGATACTAGAAGGAAAACTCAAACTCAACTACACCTAAGAAAACACATGATATAGATAACATCACAACAGCAAAACCAAAAGAAAACAAGCACACAAACACACCAACTCCACAATAAAAGAAACTACATTCATTGATCACTAATATCTATCAACATCAATGGAATCAACTCTCCAATAAAAAGACAAAGGCTAACAGATGTTAGCAGAAACAGGATCCAACATCCTGCTGCATTCAAGAAATATACCTCAGCAACAGAGATAGACACTACCTCAGAGTAAAGGGCTGGGAAAAGGTTTTCCAAGCAAACAGACCCAAGAAGCAAGCTGAAATAGCCATCCTAATATTAATAAAATGGATTTTCAATCAAAATTAATCAAATAATGGGAAAGTCACTTCATTCTCATCAAAGGAAAAGTCAACCATGAAGACATCAGAATCCTGAACATCTATACCCCCAAACCAAGGGCACCTCCATTCATAAAAGAAACATTATTAAACCTTAAATCACACATAGATCCCAAAACATTAATAGTGGGAGACTTCCATATCCCACTCTTACAATGGACAGATCATTGAGACAGAAGCTAAATAGACAAATAATGAAGCTAACAGAGGTCATCAATCAAATGGACCTAATAGAGGTCTACAGAACTTTTCACTGAAACACAAAAGAATTCACTTTTTTTCTCAGCACCACACAGAATTTTCTCCAAAATTGACCATATAATCAGCACAAAGCAATCCTCAACTGACACATGATGGTTGAGTTAACTCAATGTTCTTTATCAGATCAACAGGGATTAAAGCTAGACCTCAGCAACAACAGAAACAACAAAAAGCATATATACTTAAAACTGAACAACTTCTTGCTCAATGATCACTAGGTCAAGGAAGAAATAAAAACAACAATAAAAAAAACAAATTAAAGACTTCCTAGAATTCAATGAAAATGAGGGCACAACTTACCCAAACTTATGGGACACACGAAAGCAGTGTTAAGAGGAAAGTTCATAGCACTAAGTGCCTTCATAAAGAAACTAGAGAGAGCTCATACTAAAAACTTAATAAATCACCTGAAAGCATTAGTACAAAAAAAAAAAAAAAGCAAACACACCCAAGGAGTAGATGGCAGGAAATAATCAAACTCAGGGCTGAAATCAATAAATTAGAAACAAAGAGAGCAATACAAAGAATCAACAAAACCAAGTGTTAGTTCTTTGAGAAAACCAACAAGATAGACAAACTCCTAGCCAAACTAACTAAAAGACAGAGAGACAGTACCCAAATTAACAAAATCAGAAATGAAAAAGGGGGGCATAACAACAAACACTGAGGAAATCCAAAGAATCATTAGGTCTTACTTCAAAAGCCAATATGCCACAAAATTGAAAAATCTAAAGGAAATAGATGATTTTCTTGATAGATTTCACCTACCAAATCAAGAGCACGCAAACAGTTTAAACAGCCCTATAACCCCTAAGGAAATAGAAGCAGCCAACAAAAGTCTTCCATCTGAAGAAAGCCCAGGGTCAGATGGTTTTAGCACAGAATTCTACCAGACTTTCAAAGAAGAGCTAACACCAAAACTCCTCAAACTATTCCACAAAATAGAAACAGAAGAAACATGAAGCCACAGTCATCCTGATACCTAAATGACACAAAGATTCAACAAAGAAAGAAAATTTCAGACCAATCTTCCTTATGAACATTGATGCAAAAATACTCAATAAGAGACTTGCAAACCGAATTCTAGAACACATTAACCACATCATCCATTATGACCAAGTAGGCTTCATCTCAGGGATGCAGGGATGGCTCAACACATGAAAATCCATCAATGTAATACACCATATAAACAAACTGAAAGAAAAAAAATCACATGATCATTTAATTAGATGCAGAAAAAGTATCTGACAAAACCCAACACTATTTCATGATAAAAGTCTTGGAGAGATCAGGGACACAAGGTCCAGACCTAAACATAATAAAGGCTATATACGGCAAGCTGATAGCCAACATCAAACTAAATGGAGAGAAACTCAAAGCACTCCCACTAAAGTCAGGGACAAGATGAGGTTGCCCAATCTCTTTATCTCTTCAATATAGTACTAGAAATTCTAGCTACAGCAATAAGACAACTAAAGGGGATCAAAGGGATACAAATTGGAAAGGAAGAAGTTAAAGTATCACTCTTCACAGATGATATGATAGTATACATAAGTGACCCCAAAAATTCCACTAGAGAATTCCTGCACTTTGCTTCAGCAAAGTGGCTGGATACAAGAGTAATTAAAAAAAAAAAAATCAGGGGCATCGCGCGAGGGACGCCGCCACCTCCTCCCACGCAGCAGCCGTGTCCTCCCGCTCAGCCGCGCAGGTTGACTCGACCAAAGCGATGGTTATGGAGAAGCCTAGTCCCCTGCTGGTCGGGCGGGAGTTTGTGCGACAGTACTACACCTTGCTGAACCAGGCCCCGGACATGCTGCACAGATTTTATGGAAAGAACTCTTCCTATGCCCACGGGGGCTTGGATTCCAACGGGAAGCCAGCAGATGCAGTCTACGGGCAGAAGGAAATCCACAGGAAAGTGATGTCACAAAACTTCACCAACTGCCACACCAAGATCCGCCACGTGGACGCCCACGCCACTCTGAATGACGGGGTGGTGGTCCAGGTGATGGGGCTGCTGTCCAAAACAACCAGGCTCTTCGGAGGTTCATGCAGACCTTTGTCCTTGCTCCCGAGGGCTCTGTTGCCAACAAGTTCTATGTTCACAACGACATCTTCAGATACCAAGATGAGGTCTTTGGTGGCTTTGTCACAGAGCCTCAGGAGGAATCTGAGGAAGAAGTAGAAGAACCTGAGGAAAGACAGCAGACACCAGAGGTGGTGCCTGATGACTCTGGTACTTTCTATGATCAGACTGTCAGCAACGACTTGGAGGAACATTTAGAGGAGACTGTTGTGGAGCCGGAGCCAGAGCCGGAGCCAGAGCCAGAGCCAGAACCTGTGCCTGACATCCAAGAGGACAAGCCTGAGCCTGCTTTGGAGGAAGCTGCTCCTGAGGACGTGCAGAAGAGTGCTTCCCCGGCCCCAGCGGATGTGGCCCCAGCACAGGAGGACTTGAGGACATTTTCTTGGGCATCTGTGACTAGTAAGAACCTTCCTCCCAGTGGGGCTGTTCCAGTGACGGGGACACCGCCTCATGTGGTCAAGGTGCCACCTTCGCAGCCCCGACCAGAATCTAAGCCTGATTCTCAGATTCCACCGCAAAGGCCTCAGAGAGATCAGAGAGTTCGAGAGCAGCGGATCAACATCCCCCCCCCCCCCAGAGGGGACCCCGGCCAATCCGAGAGGCTGGTGAACCAGGAGATGTGGAACCTCGAAGGATGGTGAGGCACCCTGACAGTCACCAGCTCTTCATCGGGAACCTGCCACATGAAGTTGACAAGTCAGAACTGAAGGATTTTTTCCAAAATTATGGGAACGTGGTGGAGCTGCGCATTAACAGTGGCGGGAAGTTACCCAACTTCGGTTTTGTTGTGTTTGATGATTCTGAGCCTGTTCAGAAGGTCCTTAACAATAGGCCTATCATGTTCCGAGGTGCGGTCCATCTGAATGTGGAAGAGAAGAAGACTCGAGCTGCCAGGGAAGGTGACCGCAGGGACAACCGCCTTCGCGGACCCGGAGGCCCCCGTGGTGGGCCAAGTGGTGGGATGAGAGGCCCTCCCCGCAGAGGCATGGTGCAGAAACCAGGCTTTGTCGTGGGCAGGGGAATTACAACTCCAAGCAGTGAATTGCTTGGCCCAGATCTTCACACAGCACACAGCCCTGGCTCCTGCAGAATGGTGAATTCCTTCAACCAGCCTTTGGTGTCTCGGAGTAGTCTATTATAAACTGCTTGAGTTTGTACAACTTTAATTTCTCTTGTGTTCATGGTGTGTGCTCCCCACCCCCCTTCCCTCCCCTGACCTTTTAGTCCTTCACTTCCAGTTTTCCGGAATGAATCTTTAGGAGGAATAGATTTTTACAGAAGAGGAAAGACTGACCTTCCTGCTCACGCTGCGTATACCGACCGGAATTTAACAGCCATTCCCCAAAGGAGGGTGTCTCGGTTTTCACTGACAGTGGGTGTTCATTTGTTGGGAGACACAGGATTTGATAAACATTTTGGAAGCAGGAAAAATTCGTATTATCAAGAGTCACGACTCCTTTCTGGTGTGGAAAAATTGCCTTTTTGGCAACTGCCGCTGGGTCCCTGCTGGTGTGGCTAACCGAATAAAAGGTGTTTCCAGAACTTTGTTCTTTTGACATGTGATTACCAAACAGTTCTAAACCTCCGTTTTTACCATTGGATTTTAAATTGTGACGTAGTCTGTCAATGTCTAGAACACAGCTAAGGACTTTTGTTGAACTGTTAGATTTTTTTGAGGTAGAGTTTTTCATGTTTTATTTGTATTTGTAAAAAAAAAGAAAAAAGGATAAAAAGGAAAAAAGGACAAAAAAATCCCCACAAGAAAACAAATGCCCAAATCTGATAACAAAACCAAGCAAAACTGTGCCTTCTATTTATCTTTGATTCTGGTCCTGGCAATTGTTTAAAGAAAAGTAATAAAGATTCTAGATTTGTTTTCAGAAAAAAAAAAAAATCAGTAGCCCTCCTGTATACAAATGACAAATGGGCAAAGAAAGAAATTCAAGAAACCACACCCTTCACAATAGCCATAAGTAATATTAATTATCTAGGGGTAACTGTAATCAAGGAAGTCAAAGACCTGTATAACAAGAACTTCAAGTTTCGACGAAAGAAACTGAAGAAGATATCAGAGATGGAAAGGTCTCCCATGCTCATGGATTAGTAGGATTAACATAGTAAAAATGGCCACCTTACCAAAGGCAATCTATAGATTCAATGCAATCCCCATCAAAATATCAACACAATGTTTTAGAGACCTTGAAAGAAAAACACTAAACATTGTATGGAAAGAAAAAAAAAAACAGAATAGCTAAAACAGTCCTATACAATAATAGAACTGCTGGAGATTCTATACTACAGAGCAATGGTAATAAAAACTGCATGGTACTGGCATCGAAATAGGCTGGCTGATCAATTAATTGAATTGAAGACCCAGAAATAAACCCACACACATATGCACACCTGATTTTGATAAAGGAGCCAAAATCACATAATGGAAAAAAGACAGCATCTCCAACAAATGGTGCTGATCTAACTGGATGTCTCCATGTAGAAAAGTGCAAAGAGATCCTTATTTATCACCCTGCACAAAACTGAAGTCCAAGTAGATCAAAGACTTCAACATAAAACCAGATACACTAACTCTACTAGAGGAGAAGGTAGGTAAGAGCGTTGAACTCACTGACACAGGAGCAACTTTCTGAACAGAACACCAACGGCTGAGGCACTAAGATCAACCATTAATAAATGGGAGCTCTTGAAACTGAGAAACTTCTGTAAAGCAAGGTACACTATAAGCAGAACCAAATGGCAGCCTGCAGATCTGGAAAAGATCTTCACCAACCCTCCATTTGACAAAGGGCTAATATCCAAAATATATGAAGAACTCAAGAAATTAAACACCAAGAAACCAAATAATCCAATTAAAAATGGGATACAAAGCTAAACAAAGAATTCTCAACAAAGGAATCTGCAATGATGGAGAAACACTTCAAGAAATGCTCAGTGTCCTTAATCATCATGGAAATGCAAATCAAAATGACTCTGAGATTTCATCTTCCACCTGTCAGAATGGCTAAGATCAAAAACTCAACAGCATGTCAACACTTGCTGGCGGGGTGTGGAGGAACCCTCCTCCATTGCTGGGGGAATGTAGCGTGCAACGACTTTGGAAAGCAATCTGGTGCTTTCTCCTAAAACTGGGACTAGCCGTACCTCAAGACCCAGCTATACTACTCCTGGCCATACACCTGAAATATGCTCAAAGATACAAGAACATCTGCTCAGCCATGTTCAGAACAGCTTAATTTGTAATAGGCAGAAACTGGAAACAACCTAGATGTCTCCCAATTGAAGTATGGATAAAGAAACTGTGGCGCATTTACACAATGGAATACTACTCAGCAATTAAAAAAAAAAAGACATCATGAAATTTGCAGGCAAGTGGATGGAACTAGAAAAGATCATCCTGAGTGAGGTAACCCAGGCCCAGAAAGACACACATGGTACGTGTGTGGTATGTACTCCCTTATAAGCAGATTGACTCATATGATACAGGGCAATCATACTACAACGCACAGACCCCAAGAAGCTAAGTCCGATTGTCATCTCAGGCTTCATGTGGGCTACACCAGTTAGGGAGAGGGGCACATCTTTGACATGGACTGGGTTGCCTGCTTTTGATCACATCCCTCCGATGGGACTTCCGTACGAGGCTAGCGGGGAGAAAGACAAATTCAGTCCTCATGGGCATAGATGAGCAGGGTGACAACCTGGGGCCACCGGGTCACCTCAGCTGTGAAAACTCCCCCGTCAGACTGGCTTGGAGGCAAGTCTGTAGTATGTTTTCTTGATTCATGATTGACGAGGGAGGCCTATCCCACTGTGGGCATTCTACCCTGTGGGCAGGCCGTTCTGGGGTGCCATAGGAAAGCAAAGTGAGTAAACCACGAGGAGCAAGACCGCAAGCAGTATTCCTCTACTGTTTCTGCTCCAGTTCCTGCCTCTAGGTGCTGGACTTGAGTTCCTGCCCTCATTTCTGTTTATATCAGACTGTAAAATGTAAAGTGAAAGAAACGTTTTCCTCCTCAAGGTCACAGTCTTTATCAAGCAATGGAAGCAGACTAGAACAGGCGTCAATGGCCAGCCATGCCTGCTTGTCCTTAGCCTAGGCCCCTGGGTTTAAGACAACCTGTGAAGAGCTATTACGGAACTACCATGGTCTCCTTTTCTGCCACTGGGCTTCACCCATTCTGTACATTTGCACTTCATTTATGCCTCTGTAAATCTGCCAGCTTTAGAAAAAGGGAGAAAGAGAGAGAGAGAGAATACAGGAAACCCAGTTTAATTTGTATCTCAGACAAATAGCCCATTTCTAAAGTGTACGAATGCCCCCAAGGTTGCATGGGATACACATATAAAAAATATTGATTGACTGTCTGGATTTCATGTTTAGCTGGGAATCCTATGGTTTGTCTTGTAACTCCATTCCTATGTCTCTTGGGCTTGGGGCTCTCCAGCTGGCTGGCTGCGGTCACAGGACCATGACTTCATCTTTGGCACTTCCTAGGAATTTCTTGCTAAGCTACTGTTCTGTTTCATTCAAACCTCGTCCACTGGGAGTGCCTTGTTCTCTGTTTCTGGAATAATCATTGAGTAGCATAGAGCAGCAGGATGCCTCCAAGAGCAGAAATCAGCATAGTTTCCCAAGCTGCACAATCGGAGGGAATGTGGGAGCAAACTGATACAGCCACGGTTCTAGAAAACTGTTAGAAGTCTGGTCTTCGAGTTTTGAGCACTAGACCAAGCACATGCTGTGTCTACAGAGGTCATTGGAACATAGTAGTTCCTGGCAGTCTATTGTTCTATGGTTGCAGAAAAAGGAACTTTTTTTTTTCTGACTTCAGTTTTATGGTTTTAAGAACTGTATTTGTATAAAATGGGATCTCCACAGCCTGGTGTAAGAAACACAGGAAAAAAAACTTAAGAGGAAAATGCATATTTTTCATTTGTATCCTTTGCCTTTAGGAAAATGATTTGTTCTAGGCTTAATTTTTTTTCCAGGGTAATATCAGAGCTATCGTAAAGACTAATGGTTTGTTGTTTGCTTTTTAACTCATGTTTTTAACTATTTAATCCCTGGAACTGGGCATTACTCCAAGGCTCTGTGCATGCTAGGAAACAGCTCTGCTGCTCACTGTGTTCCCTGCCCTCTTTTTGCTTTTTATATTGAAGCAAGGTCTCACTAAGTTGCCAGGGCGTGCCTTGAATCTACTCCATAGCCTAGGCATTCCTTGAACCTGTAATTCCCTGCCTTAGCCCCTCTTGATGGTATAAGGCCAGAGCTGTCAGAGCTGGCATGAACTTTTCCTTATGAGCACTCTCAGATATAAAATCAAAGTGAACCGAATATCAGCTCCCACATTCTGTTAGACACTTTAGACCAGCAGTTCTCAACCTGTGGGTTACAACCCCACTGGGTGTCAAATGACCCTTTCACAGGGGTGGCCTAAGACCACAGGGAAACACAGATATTTGCACTATGATTCATAACAGTGGCAAAATTACAGCTATGAAGGAGCAACAGAAATAATTTTGTGGTTGAGGGTCAGCACATGAGAAACTGTACTGAAGGGCTTCAGCATTAGGAAGGCTGAGAAGCCCTGCTTCAGGCTGTGGGACCAGACACTGGCTGAAGCAGCTCAAGGGAGCAAGCATTTGCTTTGGCTCAAGGGTCATTGAGATGGGGAAGGCATGGAGCCTGGGCAGCCTCACCCACTCTGGCCACCATCCAGCAGATCAGGGAGCAGAAAATGCTCACTGGAAGCAGAAGACAGCACCCTCAAGACCTGCCCCCTGAAACCTGCCTGTGCCAGCCATACCCTTAAAGTTCCACCCACGCCTCCCAACACTGCCACCATCTGGAGCGGGACCAAATGTTTAAATACAGGAGGCAAGTGGGGGTGGGGTGGGGGCCGCAGGCAAACCCTAGCATAAACCTACACACATACACACCTGGAGGAACAGCTACTAAGGTTTTACCCTGTGCGTCTTCTCATCCACGTTACCGAAGCAATTTAACCTGACGCAGAGACACTGTGCCATGCACCCCTTAATGGTCTGCGGGAGAAATGGCATTGTCTGAGTCAGCCACAATACCATTGCTCACCTACAACTTAGCAATAATCTCTTTATGTTGTCTACATTTAATCACAATTACATTCTGCAGTGTCATGGGGGTCATATCCATCATGTTTCTGTCTCGACATCTAGCAGAGGGCCTGACACGCACTGGTCCATGGAACGGTGATGAGAGACCAGGTAAGCAAACGGAGGGAGGGATGTGGCAT